TTTATTCTGCTCCAAGAATGTAGAATGCCCATAATCCCATTCTTAATGGCCATATTGCTCTTTCTTATGAACTTCAGGATCATGAGCAGAGAAGAGAAATTGTATCTTTGAAGTGTGAATTGGAAAAAAAGTTTCAGATTTATTGCTTTGTATCTTCTAGGTACGATGGTACTTATTTTCCCTCATGTGCCATTTAGAAGTTCTTAAATAAAGGACTCTTATGCCTGCTAAGGGAATTGACACAGTTCACTAAAATAATTTCATTCCACTGGATAGCAAGGCATGAAAAGCTGTAGTTCATCTTTTCATTCATACCACGGCCTGCCAGGGTATTAAATAAACTCCCCTCCCTATTCCACTAAGTGGTTGGCATTTACTCAGTCTTCAGTGCTGAAGTTACTTTAAGTACCGTTTGAGTTATTAACTTCCCCCCTTATTTGGATTTATATTGAAAGTTGTCATAAACTATTGCAAGTTGAAAATGGTGTCTGGAGAAATCCACGTTAAAAGCATTATTTTTTCTGAAGTATACATCATTATTCTTGGTCTTGCAGTGGCATCCTCTGAAGCCAAAAGAAGTCCTCAAGAAGAAAATAAATCAATTATGGCAAGATTATCTCATGGTGGTTGTTATATTAATATGAGAAACCCAAAAACAAAGTTTAGGCATCAAAGTCTAATCGATAAGTGAAAATCACTTTCTCACTTTATTCCATTAGAAGAATTTTTATGTTTATTTATTTATCAAAAATCATTTGTATACTGCCTTTCATTTCAAGCAGAACAATAAAACAGGCAGGACATAACAAAATACAACACTAAAAGCATATAAACATATTTCAAAATTTATAAATGTGTTGGAAAAGCCAAGACAGGCAAAAGGAGGTACAGCTTCACACAGTCAATAGCTAAATGTCAATCAGGACAATCAAAAGGGATGCGGGTGGCGCTGTGGTCTAAACTACTGATCAGAAGGTCAGCGGTTCGAATCCACATGATGGGGTGAGCTCCTGTTGCTCCTAGCAGTTCAAAAGCACACCAATACAAGTAGATAAATAGGTACCACTGTGGTGGGAAGGTAAATGGCATTTCCGTGTGCTCTGGCACTTTTCATGGTGTTCCGTTGTGCCAGAAGCGGTTTCGTCATGCTGGCCACATGACCTGGAAAGCTGTCTGCAGACAGACACCGGTTCCCTTGGCCTGAAAGCAAGATCAGCGTCGCAACCCCATAGTCGCCTTTGACTGGACTTAACTGCCCAGGGGTCCTTTACCTTTTACCTTTTTTATCTATTTCACAGGCAGAGAAAGTATTGTTACAAGCTACCTCATTCTCCATGAGCTGTGCAAGATTCCAGGGGTTGCAGGCCTGCTTACCAAGGCCTGCGTTCCCTTTTGGGACAATGAGGCACAGCCGAGTCTGTGGTGACTTTATGAAATATGGTTTCTTTACACATCTATACAGCCCGAGTCTGGATGGAGAACATGCAAAGCAGTCACATCTCAAGAGGGTCCTGTTCCTACCATTGCTGCAGCCTCCAATTCCAAGAGACCCCAAGCATCACATCTAACCCCCTCTGCAGCATAGAACCAACCGCCTGCCTCATGCTCTGCTCACCTCACCCCCGCCTGCAAAAGATACATCTTTTTCTGGTTTGATTACCTCATAACCCAGTGCAGTTCTGGAAACCTCCCCTTCCCAACTCTGGAGCTGTATTTTGCTAATTACACCCCGCTCCCTGTGGCCAGCAGCTATTCTTTTGCCTTGGTGAAGAATTTACTTAAGCCAGGAATTAGCAGTGTAAAAATACTGGCTGGACTTGGGTTAAACGATTCTCTCCTGTGTTCCTGTTCCCAGTTGAGGAAAAAAGACCATGGTTTTGTCATATTTGCTTGCCTTGCGTAAGGGACAGTGGAATTTGCTGTCTATGAAGAAAGGTCACACTACCTGACGAGAAATAGTTACGTTATGCTTCTAAACCATCTGCACTGTCTCTTTCTTTTCCTCAGGAAACAGCAGTAAATTATTTCTGGATCTTCCAGATATTTTTTTTTTAAATCTCAAACTACTTCTGCTTAACTGTAAACTGTATAGGAGAACAGACATTTCCAATATTAGATCCAGCAGCAAATATATCAATGTGGACTTGCCTGTCAGATTTGAAATGCAAATGTAAAACTTACACTGGACAGAATGTTCATTTGCATTACAAATACATCACCTCTTCTGCATAAACAAGCATCAGATGTTAACATAAATTGCAGGGGGGGGGGAAGAAAAATGCTCAAGGGCAAATTAAGACAAGTGTGAAACAATGTGTTGTTTAAAACAAACAAACAAACTTGGGTTTTTAAGCAAAGGTTTTTGAATGCTCATAGATTATAGGTTTTTGGGTCCAGATTAATTGGCATATCACAATTATATATGCATGATTTATAAAGAAATCCTATTAATTTCAGTGGAATGTGGGGATATATATATATATATATTCCTAATGAAAATGTATTGGTATTTTAGTACAATTTCCTTCAATGTACATTTTTATATACAGTTTGACTAATGTATACATTTCCGCAAGCAACTAATTTTTTTGTTTGTTTGTTTGTTTGTTTTTTTGCAAGCAACTAATTTTATATAAAGTTTGACTAATGTATACATTTCCGCAAGCAACTAATGTAATGTATCCTTCTGTGTTGTTTTCACTAATATATTCATTTTTAGGTGCACTTTCCCCTAATTTATGTATTTTTATAAGCATTGTTGGGTTTGAGAACTACATTGGAAAATTTGGATAAGTGTGAGTTATGTTTCAGTTTGCATATTGATTTGAAAAGTGCAAATTTGCCTTTAAATGTGAACTGAATTGACTTCAATTTGCCCCTATCCCAAGAAGGACATTAGCCTAAACCAAAAGTCTTCTGCCTAATTTACCGGTAGTTGTGCCTTGAGTTTTCTGTGGGTATTGTCTTTGCAACTCTTCTGTCTGTAGGTTGTTTCTGATGCATTATATATAATTTGCTAAGTATTTCAAGTTAGTTGACAGAAGGAAATACCCATATGGTTATTCAAGGATTTTGACTCAAAGATTATATATTCATTGAACATATTTGCTATGTTAAGCATAAAAGAGCTAATCCATTCTTATTAAAAGGTCACATTATTTTAGACTTTGAATGATTTCATATTGCTTAATTATTTTCATTTTAAAATGGCTGGGGGTTCTTATACGATTTAAATAGTCTTCTTTTTGTAAGATCATGCTTTATTTATTTCCAAATGCATACTCCAGTTTTGTTTATAAAAACAAACAAACCTCAAAGCAGTTTACAAAAAAATAATAAAACAGAATGAAAGCGGCTCAAATTCATAAAATAAATTTCATACAGAATTTAAAGCTATTTGGCAGAAATAGTATGTAAAGACTGACTTGAATTGAAAGCACATAGCATTCCCATTAAAAAACTTGCAGGCAATGAGAAACCGATAACAGGTTTATAAATATTTGCAAGGGATTATTTTTCACTGGTTCCCTCTGTCACTTCAAAGGACAAAGATGGACATTTTTACCAGAAAAAGTGCAATAACGCTTAACTGTTGGAAGGGTAAACACTATTTTAATGAAAAATGGCACCAGTCTTCCACAAAAACAAACTTGAGTTTGTCCTGTGCATATTTCACATTAGATCATGCAGAACTCTTGTGATCTAACTTCCCATAATGAAGCAACTAGTAGAATGAATGAATCAAGGCTAGCTTTAATTACTATCCTTTGCATTATTAAAAAAATAAATCCCCAAAAAAGGATTACGGCATATGCTTTTGAAAAATAAGTTTTAAAAAGAATGCAAAATATACAAATCAAAGGTAGCCTCATTTCCCTTGAAATCAAGGAAGAGTTGCCATTTCCCCCAAAGGGAACTACAGGTGTTCAAATGGAGGCTTCCAACATATTTATGTATTAAAAAACCCATCTTTCTCTTGCCATCTGTCACTAAAGAAGACGAGATATAGAACAGTGGCAGACTCATGTTCAAAAGGCTGTCTTTGGGATAACAAAGAGAAAAGTTAATGGACACAGATTTACAAATTATTAATGATTTCTCTTGCCATTTTTGAAAAATGAACGCTATGCACACCGTCTCTCTTCCCAAACAGATTGCATTTTATTCCTCTGCAGTTTGTCCATCAGGCTTCACTCTGACAACATAATCCAAAACTAATCCAGAGCATTCAGTTTTCCTTGTTGGCTCTCATGCACACTGCTTAGACAAATCCTGCTACCTGTCAGCCCTCCTGTGTGTGCCAGACAGCCTGCCAGGTTAACCCCTGGGGAAAGCGAGAGACCTACTGACTTAACCCCTACTTCCCTTCCAATAATCCACTGTAAATATGTAGCGTTAACGGGCTAACTGCGCTAATCAGGGCTGGATCTTTTAAAATCTGCTTCATACACACTCGCTAAGTAGTAAGGATCTGAGCATCACTGTTAGAAAAGGGGAAGTCAGTGCATCCAAGTATATCAGCCCCAAAGCAGCAGATGGCTAGGACACACTGAAAGGATTTAATCACTTAAAGCGGTGTGTGAAAACACATGCATCAAATTGCTAGGCCACCTAGTTGCTTATGAATCCATCTGAATTGTCAGCACAAGGTCAGGAAAAAACAATAATCCACAGAGAGCCCAAGAAGCTCTACCTTTGATGTAATTTATTCCTCCAGGTTTTGCTTCTTATAATTCACTTTTACATATATCCCCCTCCTCTGTCCAGTACAGCTCCAGCTTTAGATTTTTGAAACCTGCACTTTAAAATAAATTTCTGAAAGAACTGGCCCCTGCCATGATAAAATTGCTTCCCTCACACATTGCTTACAATCAAAATTGCCTAGCATCTTCAAGCCTTTTTCAATTTGGAGGCCTCCTAAAATCCGAAACACACAGCACAACTTGAGTAACAAAGACTTTTCAAAGTACTCACTCTTTATTTGGTGTTGCAGGGGGGAGACCCCAAAACAAAACACCATTGCTCCTCATTGGAATTCAAGGCACATCACTCTGTCATTCTGTGGCAGCATCAACAATCCACAGCAGAAAATAACTTGCGTAAGCACGGCATACCCGGGAGCACTTAAAAGCCCCGCTAAGCTCAGCCACATGAGATCTGTAATAAAACATTGCTCAGCTCATTTAATGATTGGAAGGCATGATGTCCAGGACTCCAGGTTAGTATCTGAAGTGGGGGGAGGTAGAGTTACCCATGGGGAGGTGGTCCTGAACTCTGTCATGAACAAAAGTAGGAAGGGAAGATCTTTTGTGGCTTGTGATAAGAACATTCATTTTAACTCAATTAAATTCCTGGCAGTCTCTTGGGAGGAAGGGATGATATTGATTCTTTATATTCATATATGTGTATGTACAAATGTGCAAAACATTTTGTACAGTACTATAAATCAGAAGTATTTAAAAAATACTGAACACAGCAATTTTGCTATCATGATCACAAAACAAAAAGGCACTAAGAAAACAGCCCTCAAAAAACATTTTCTGTTAGTATTTAATAGTATAATAGTATAGTATTTTTCATTTAACTTTTAATAAATGTGAAGAATTGTTAAGGAACATTTGCAGCACTATCATTAACCAGATTAAGAGTATTTTTGTGCACCTTGAAAGTTTTTACAATTATATTTTCTCAAGTAAACATTAATCATTCATTCATTTTTAGGTTTATTTTGGAAATGAAAATTGAACCTTTTTTCTTGCTTTTAAGCTATTCTTCTTTTCTTTTTGAATAATATATACATATCTGGGATTTATTTTCACAGAAAGAAATAAAAAATAAAATGTTGTGTCAAACCTTCTGAAAGTATATATTTAATTGATTTTCAGAGGTTAATAAATATTCAGCCATACTAAATCTTAGGAAAGTGCATAAATTATTGTGTAAGAATGAACTGAATATGAGGGCTTTCTGGACAGATGTTAAATGCTTTATTTGAAAATGATGTAGGCACCATTCTGGCTATGCTATTAGAGCAAATACCTTGGAGACATCTGTTTTCTAAACTATTATCTTTTAATAAACGTGAATTGTCCAATGTTATCCTAGGCTAAATTAAATTCATGCAGCAAAAAGAATTCTTTTGCAAAGAATAACAGATGGCAAGTTTGCTAATCAAAATGTAAAGACATATAAGAAATAAAGTGGAACTCTGAAAACTGCAGCCACAAAATAATCTTAGTCTTGGCTGCCAAAAGTTATCCAGTCTTTAGGGATGCAAAGCAAATTAATTTTGAAATAACCTCATGCTGTGGTTACCTAGGAAATGCCTCAGTTTAAAGCTAAATCTCTTTTCTTTTGTGCTTACTGTTTTGCAGTAGTTCAGCAACCAGCACAGGATTTACTGAAGAGTCATAGCAGAGCTAAGCAACATGAGTCAATGAAACTACACATCGCAGGCATCATTATTGTTACACATTGAAATTTTCATTTCAGAGTGGTTGATAGTTTTGCTATGATAGCTGAACCACCATCCTTAAAGCTGTTTAAAAATACCAAGACTGGGCACATCTCAGTGTATTTCCACTGAATGTCGACTACTTAGGTCATTTGTTGATTATTTTTCTTCCTGACAAAGCAGCTGGGAGATGTTCTGTCAGCTATTGATCATGCAACTTATCAGCTATTCACAACATACGTCTTTGTAGCTGCTGCGAAATCTAAACAACTTGGATTCATTAATTAACCTTCTCATATTTGGCAGGAGGGGGGAGTAAAAGTAAAAAGTATATATGGCCTCCAAGCTGCTGTTGTTTTTAATTCCTTTTAAATGTTGACCAAAGGAGAAAAAGAAATAAAGTGCTAGTGCAATACACAGTCTTTTGTGTGCATGGGGACATTGTGCTTGTTGGCTGTGGAAAAAGAACTCTGTATGTTCAGGGGCGATAACTTTACCACAGCCAGCTATAGGAGCCAAATATAGTAATAGGATGGCAATGTGTTCTCCTATTCAGAGGTCAGTCTCCTAGCTCAAGGCACCCTTTCTTCGAAAGGCTGACTGGCCTAAGTCCAGTTTCAACAGCACCCAGACAGCTGAACAAAGAGCAGCAAGGTCAGGAGGTTCTGAGGGTTGAGATGCAGACCCCAAGGCCTGCTTCACATTTGGTCTCACACAAAGGCTAGAGTGGCCTCTGCAAGAAGTAGGGCTTTTTCTATAGTGTCCATAGCACTTTGAAATGCTCTCTCCCAAGAGATTCATATGGCCACCTTCCAGTCCTACTCCAGCCATTAGGCAGAGTGAGGTGGGGGCCCCAGGCAGAAATTGTGGGTGTCACAAAAAGGCAACAAATTGTTAGGTATATAACTTAGTATTGTTGAACTGCAGGGCTGTCTTAAGCATATGCGGCGCCGGGGACAAAGATCTGCCCGGTGCCCCCCCCAGTTGCTCAGTCCCAGGTGCATAGAAATGCAGAGCTGGCCAGCCGCCTCAACGTCTCCTGAACTCATGGCGCAGAGCCACCCACAGCAGAAGAGCCCACCGCAGCACTCCAACTGACAGGCAGGCCCTTCCCCGGACTCAACTCTTGGGCCCCTGACTCTTGGCCTGGCGCCCCTGAGAGCCCGGCGCCTGGGTGCCCCACACCGCTGGTGCCTATGGGTAAAACGGCACTGGGTGTGGGGAATGTTCATGGTGTTTTCTGCTTTAGGGGCTAAAATAACTTGCCTGGTGTGGCCACTATGTTGTTGTTGTTGTTGTTGTTGTTGTTGTTGTTAATTATTACTATTATTATTTGCTAGTTACTTTATTTTATCCAGGGCAACCCAAAGGGATTTACAACCAAACAATATATAATGTTACTTTGGTGGAGAGAATGGCTTGAGCTGGCTCCTTCCTGATGTTGTTTTGAAGGCAAGTCAAGATTTTAACTGTTTTAACACATGTAACTTTTGTATATGCCATTATATTGTAAATCACTTTGTGATTGGGAAGCGATTCATAAATGAATGAGCTGGTGGCCAGGCACTCATTAAGAAGTCATTGTGCAGTTAACTTAAAGTGCAATGCTATATCTATCTATTTCAGAAGTAAGTCCCTTTGTGTTTTATGGGTCTTACTCCCAGGCGAGTGGGTACAGGGTAGAAGTCTAGGCTTTGGTTTAGGGTTGGCATTGCGGAAAACAGGGTTCTTGTGTCTTTAACAGCTCTAGCTCCATAATCAGGACCAGCAGGACATAGCTGGCTTCCCACGGTGGAAAACACAAGGTTGTCCTGGGATTACTTTCTTCAGGTTTTGGTTATGCCATGAGTCCCTTGGCAGCCATTTTATGACTGGCACCCACAGCACTCTCTCAAAAATAAAAATGCCCCCTCTATAGGTATCCCTGTAGTACCTTTTTGACTACAGGCCTAGAGTGATTCTGGCCTCCTGCCGCATTCCTGGCTTATGGCTGTCTAGCCTGTGCTTTAATTCCTTCGGTGGAGGAGAGCCCATCATCTCCTGAAGCAGTCTCTTCAGAGTCATCCAGGCTATGGGCTCAAACAAGACTTGTTCCATGTCAACTCCCAGCATAAGAGTTCTGTTTGATAGACCAGAAGAGTCCTGTAAAGTTGAAATGGTACATTTTCAAATGATATACGTAAAGATATGCCATTATGTGTTAGTCTCAAGAATAATTTTATGCAGATTCCCCATTCCTTTCTATTTTATTAAATATATCTTTTGTTCTTCTAAAGAGTCATATTGCTAAAATGTGTCCTATGTAATCTGTTGATACTAAACAGGCACCTCATGCTGAACGTGTGTTATAAGCGTCTGGGTTTTTGGGCTTTCTTTAATAACTTAAAGGCACATGTAAATTGTGGCACTATCAACGCATTTCCAAAAGCTAACACACACAAATAAAATATCCTTTGTCTTTTTGCAAAACTACTCTACCCTAAGTGATTATTAGAAACTTGGGGAATGTGAGCCTATTTAAACTTCAAGGCAGAATAAACAATAGATAGTATCCATCAGTCTCACTAATCATTTTGGAATGTTTTGTTAGACCCCATTTACTTTGGTCTCCTCCCTTTCAATCATGTGTGGCACTTAAAGCTCACTTCTACAATGAAAACTATAAGAAATGTAACAAATGCAAGAGCTAATGTTGTACACAAATACAATATGTGCCTTATGTACAATGTAACATGCCGTCACCTAATGATCCTAATATCAGCCAGGGTACAAAAGAATGTTTGCAGAAGAGTCCATGTGCAATGTGACTACTGACATCCATCGCCATCTATTCCACCCTCTCTGCTGACTGGCGAACATCTCTTGAAATTTGGCTGAGCTTTGAACATGACATCCTGGTAAAGTCTGGATCCATGGGGAGAGAGGTTCTTATGCACAACAATGAAATTCCCACTTGGTTTATAAACCAGAAAACCCCTGAAGAAGAAAGACCTTTCAGTGCCGGATTTCTGTATAAGCTAAACAAGCTATAGCTTAGGGCCCCACTCTCTTGACCCCCCCCCAAAAAATATTAAATGGGAAGAAACTGGATGTACATTTCCAAAATATAAGATAAAAAACCAAATAAAATAAAACTTACACACAGCAACAATGTTTTGTAGGCTTCTATTATGTAAGCAATGGGCCCTGCCTGCTAGCCTGCTCCCTAAAATATCACTGGTTTGCTCATTTCTATATATAGGGTGCCTACATTCTGCATGGAGTGTTGTATGACAACATGTGCAAATGGCTTTAGATACCTGTTGGTCCATAAATTACCATATAGCATATATGCAACACAAAAAACAGAGGCAATTTGTTGTTGACAAAGGACAGCTGGACATATAAAGAACCCCATTACCTACTCATATGATGAGTAGCTTAGGGCCTCATCAAACCTAAATCCAGTCCTTGATCTTCTACTTAGGTCTGAAGCACTCCACTCAACATAGGTTGACTTTTGTTTCATGAATTTGCATAACTGGAGACATATGCTGAATCATTTAAGAGACTGGGGGGTAACATTTTTAAATCCCCTCCCCTCCCTTCCTCTTGTCCTTAGGGGGGAAAGTGGGAGATATAGCTCAGTGATAGAGCACCTGTTTTGCTTACAGAAGGCCTTGTGTTCAGTTCCTGGCATTTCCAGGTAAGACTAGGAATGTTCCCTGGTGAGCTGTTGCCAGTCAGTGTAGACAACACTGAACTCGATGGACCCATGGTCTGATTCCTGTGTTGTGCCTAACTCAATTTTACTGAAAAGTCCATTTGAGATGAGAAAAATCTCAAACATACCCAGTAAAATCCTGGAATACTGGAGAGGATGCTATGCTCCTCATGATATCCAATTGAAGTTGCGCTGTTTTTAAGCACAGCAGATATGAACTCTTTGAAGGTCTCCATGTGATCCTCATTTATTCCAAAATATCCCCCACATCTTTTCCAATAATCCTGTAATTGCTTGCCCACTAAGATAAGGTTTGTCTTGCCACAACTTGTGCCTTCCAAAATAGCAACAACACAGAGACGATGCTAAGCTGGCAGTGTTCCCCTCTGCTGATTATGACATTTGGTTTCTTTGCCTTCTTCACTCAATTTGCTCTAGCAGATAATCTGATATTTCTGCTACTCAGTGGAGAAAACTTGGCAGCTGTGGAAATCTGTGGGTCAAGCTCTGGAATGCTGTTTTCCAGCCATGGAATACACTGGTGCTTATTTTGACTCATGGGTTTTGACTCATTATAGCAATATACGCTAGATATTAATATCGCTCGCATTTTCTAGGAAGCCAGATATGTAGAGCAAATTACATGTTTAGGATGCCTTTATCTAAGCACTACTAGTTGAACGTACTTTTTAGATTGCTTTTCAAAGCTTCATTGAAGAAACCAAATATTCAGAGCTAGAGTTTGCTCTTGTTTTGATTAAGCAGAAGGACTGTGTGTTAAATATTCCACTGCACGTTCTAAATTCCTTGAACAGTCTCCCTCCCCAGGCAATCAAAGGGAATAAAAAATCTAACATTTTCCTAAGTTTTCTGATGGCTCATGTAGCTGCAGCACAAGTATTCATTGCATGCCTATGAGAATTTCAGTGTGATGGAGCAACGAAGTTTCCAGACTGGCTGTGTATTGAGCACTCACTCATGCTGATACATTTGCACCAAACTTCCATGCAGGATGTACAATGCCACCCATTTATTGAGCATTTATCCTGAGAGGATTGCATGGAGATTACGTGGCATTGCCAGCTGGTGGTGGTTATGTGTATTTCTCTAACTTTTTACAGTTAGAAAAGTGATGGGATCATTGCACTAGAAAGTGTGAGCCAACTTCCAAATCTGGTGCAAATAAACAGTCCATTTGGAAGTGTCCTAAGCACTTACATACTATGGAGGAATGGTTGATAAAATTATTGGACATGTTTAATGATAGAAAAATCACCACTGACATTTATTAAAGGTTGGAAACTTCCTATGGACTTCGTGTGTGAAAGATGAAATAAATTTGTAATATATGGACGTGAAGATTTAAAAAATATCAGCTTGTAGAAGGATGATTGGAAGTTAATGAGTAGGGTTTCCATACATCCATAATTTCCTGGACATAGCCAGAATACTGTAGTTGGTGTCCAGGTGGAAAACACAGAAAACACTAAAATCTGGCTGTATGTTGGCAGTGTTGGTTCTGGCAATTTCCTTTTAGATTAGCTCAAAATCTCTATTGCATATCTATATCTATCTATATCTATATCTATATATATATCTATATATCTCTATCTCTATCTCTATCTCTATCTCTATCTCTATCTCTATCTCTATCTCTATCTCTATCTCTATCTCTATCTCTATCTCTATCTCTATCTCTATCTCTATCTCTATCTCTGTCTCTATATCTCTATAGCTCTATCTATCTATCTATCTATCTATCATCTATCTATCTAGAACTTTGGACAAAACTAAAAAAGCTCCCCAACTTTGCAAAAAAAGAAAGAAAGGATTTTTGTGTCCAGGTTTTCACTTTTTGAAATATGGCAATGCTATTAATGAGTGAACACTATATTTAGCTGCAGGACAAAGAACTGGAAATCTCTCTAGCTTTCTTAATTTCTCCCCTCCCCACTTCTCTTCTTTTGCTCTTCCTACCTTTCTTTATTTCCCTTTTACTTTCTTCTTCTTCAACAGCTACTAGCCATGATAACTATGTTCTACCTCCACTCTTGGAGGCAGCAAGCCTTTGGACACCAGTTCCTATGGGGAGCGTGCTGTTACACCTAGGTCCAGCTGGCAGGCTTCCCTAGGGGATCTGATTGGTAGCTGTGAAACAGGATATTGGAATAGCTAGACCTTTGGTCCCAATTCAGGAGGGCTCATGTTCTGATACTCATGCTGAGCCAATCCTGCACCAGCTGAAGGATGTTGCTAGCAGGCACCTTGTCAAGGGGAAAAGCTTGCATTGTGTCCTTTGGAGTAAAGCCTATGCATGCTGAAGAGAAACAAACACCCAATTTCATTTAGTGGGGCACTCCCATTGAACGGCATACCACAAAGGAACTTTCGTACTTTTGCTATATCACAATTTGGAAATGAGCCTTTACTTTAAATCCCATCCACATCACAGTATGTACAAACCTGTGTGTTTAAATTGTGTGCATTGCAATTTCAGTTTTGTTTCATTTTAAAATAGGGGGAATATAAGTATTTTGCATGTTTATATGTTAGAGGGTTTGGATCCCCAAACAGATTAAACAGATTTAACAGTATTTGCATATGCAGTAATATAAAACTGGACTGTGAATATTTGGTGACTAAGCAAAGGTCACGGTTTATCTATAAGCCATTACAATATTAATTACATTTATGTTACTACAGTATTAGAATGTTAAAATAAAGATAATCCAAATATATATATATGCAGGGGAGAGTTTTAAACTCTCATTGTGTCAATTTCAGAAAATGATTACAGCATTATTTTTGCTTTTGCTTTTTAAAAACATATCTATCGTGGCCTGGTTGCTGCTCCTGCAAATGTCACCATCTTAAGAGTTGTATATTTATTTGGATAGCACCAAAAATGTTTTACTTTCATCATCATTTACATTTGGCAAAATTTATGATACCATTCGTGTTGTAACATAAGAATTTTAAATTAAACTAGTCCTACTATATTATATTAGGACGTGCAATACAATTTGTCTTTATATCTTCGTCCAAACCATTTAAAGACTGCAGAATGAAGTCTGGCTCCAAGTAAGAGCTGGTTCAGTCACTGCTATATACAACATCCAGCGTTCGTATGGATTACATTTTAATATTCTCATGGAAGCTTAATTAGAGTGGATTATTACAAGATCATAAGAATATTATGCTGCAATAGGATCATGTAGCATGGAATATTATAAGCTGGCTAATATTTCAAACTGTCTCTCCGTATTATTTTGGCAGAAACGTAATAGGAGCATAGAAAGCTGCCTCTTACAGAGTTTGATCATTGCTAGCTCACTACTGTCTACACTGGCTGGAAGCAGCCCTCCAGAGTTTCAGGCAGAAATATCTCCCATTCCTACTTTTCGGTGCCAGAGCCTGAGCCTGAGATAAAGGTAAAGGACCCCTGGATGGTTAAGTCCAGTCAAAGGTGACTATGGGGTTGTGGCACTCATCTCGCTTTCAGGCTGAGAGAGCCAGCGTTTGTCTGCAGACAGCTTTCCGGGTCATGTGGCCAGCATGACTTAACCACTTCTGGAGCATCGGAACACCATGATGGAAGCCAGAGCGCATGGAAATGCTGTTTACCTTCCCGCTGCAGTGGTACCTATTT